TATTACACTGTTGGTTCAGTTTACTTATTATTTTTACACTGGCAAAATTAGTATAAAAAAAAACCGTGAACGCTGATTTGGACACCTCGTTGGCCGGGGCACGCTGATCCATCAGCATACCCTCAAACCAATCTGAGGGCCTGCTTTCAAAAAAAAAAACCAGGCACGTCAGAGTAATATTTTTCTCTACTCTGATGTTAGTTAAGTTTGGTGTACCATGACCTTAATAGGTTTTTGTTACGCCTTTTGTACTTGCATTGTGTTTCATTTCCGCGTCGCCCACGTTTCCCCCCTCACTGCGATGTTTCAGAGTGAGGTGTTGGCGGCACCGATAATTTGACTAAGAGCGTGTCTGAAGTGAAATTTCGACGGATGTACAGTTTCGTCGGGGAATGCTGGCGAATCTCAACCCTCGGACCAGGGCCTCAGATGTCAGGAATTTTACCCTGAATTCCTGAAGTTTGACCCCCGTTTTTTATCATGCCCCTGATGCATCAGCCTTTTTTTTTCAACGACCCTGATGTTTCAGTGTTTTTTTAATTTCGAACTCTGATTTTCCAGTGTTTTGTGTTTGAGGACACTGACGAGTCAGTGTTGTATCGGGGTCTACCCTGAAACCGAAAACTCCTTGTTTTGGCCCGCCGTCACCGTGCACCGTGCACCAAGGGGATTTCTGGCGAAACATGCTCTGACAGGGCAAATCTCTTGTGTGAGGGGCGAATCTGCTGCAGTGTCAGGGCAAATCTGCTGTGATTGGGCGAATTTGCTGTGCTGCGACAGCGCGTAACGACTGTGCAAGGTCGAATTTGCTGTCAGGGCGAATCTGCTGTGACGAACCAAGTCCGAATCATCAGTCAAGTACACAACCAGAGATCTGAAACAGTTGTTAACAATTGTCCTATTCGATTGGTCAGACAAGATTTCTGACCAATCAGACACGGAAATAGCAAAATTTTGGCCGAATTTGGGAATTGTAAAGTGAGGGCAGTCTGATTCGCTGTGTTATGACAGCGTACCAGTATAAGCAACTATGCTGATCAGTGTTGAAGTTTTAGAAACCCTGATTGATCAGCGTTTTATTTCTAACAACCCTGAAAAATCAGTGTTTCACACTAGACGACACTGAAAATCAGTGTTACCCTCCTAGAGACACTGAGTGCTCAGGGTACCCAAAAACCAATCTGAGGCCCTGCCTCGGACTGAGCGTTCCGACCGTCAGGATTCCTCGACGTCCCTCAAAGTTTCGTCGGGAAACGTCGACGTTCACTTCAGACATAAAGAGAGAGGGGACTGGCTGGCATCGTGCGCTGGTTGGGAAAGTTGTCAAACTACGGTAGCCAATCAGCGCTCATATTGCCGCCAACACATGACAGAAATCAGGAGAATGATCTCGACGATTCGGGGAAAACCCGCTAAACGCAGGGGGGGGTGGGGAGGGGAGGGGGGCGGGGGAGGGGGGCCGGTAGGTTTTCCTATACAGAGTAAATTCGGTCCCCGAAAAAAAAACCCAGAGGCCTCAGAGTAAACTACAGCATAACTCTGACAAATCAGAGAAATCGGAAGTCCCAAAAAAATTACCCAGCGGGTACAGAGTTACTTTCAAAAATGACTCTGATTTTCAGAGAAACAGAGTAATTTACTCTGAAAACGTGAGGCCTGCCGACGGGTGCCGCTACAGGGGCAGCCGAGTTAGCTAGGGGAGGTGAGTCCTAAACCTTGCATGATACCGTATGGCCTCGGATATAAGCGCAGGCCTATGTTAAGCGCATGCGCTTGTATCTGGAGCAATGCGCTTATGGCCGATCCTCAATTATAAGCGCACCCCTTGGAAAATCGTGACTTATTATAAGCGCACCCATTTAGTTAAAAAAAAAAAAAACATTTTTTTTTAACCTACCTAGCCTACATGTTCTAATCTTTACATTAACTTAGACAATCACATACAAGGGTGGTCTTTGCTGTCCTGCACTACACACCTTTCAACCTGCCTAGTCTACCCTACTGCCTATTCTTCCTCCTCGTCCGACTCGGGCTCGGTGGAGTTGTTGCCCCAGAACCCATCTGCCTGGATGTCGTCGTCCACCTCCACCTCATGGGACAACTGGCCTCTCCGGTGCGCCAGCACCAGTTTGTCTTCGCTCCCATCAAGGGCATTGCTGATGCCGCACGTGAGGAAGGCTCTCTTGATCAGGTCGGCGGGCACCGCCTTCCACGCCCGGGAAATCCACTTGAGCACCACCTCCGGAGGTGGTTTCTTGATGTTCCCTGCATCACACGGAGTGGGGCGGGGAAAACATGAGACAACTAAACAGGCATACAAGCTCAAGATTTGCAGACGGGAGCACATGTCGTCACTCACCTGCCGGGGTCAGGATGTTCATGCCGTCCGCCTCAAACCAAGTCTGGTACTGTTGACGAATGCTTGCTTTGAAGCTTTTGTTGATAGACACATCGAGGGGCTGCAGGTCTGCCGTGCAACCCACCGGAATGATAGCAGGCACGATGTTGAGCGCCGCGAATCTCTCCTTGACTTCTGGTGTCAGGTGACCGCGATACGAGTCGAGCACCAGCATGGCGCTACGACTCTGCAGGCCGAATTTCGGCTTCAGGAACGGCACCACGCCCGTGTTGAGCCACTCGATGACGCCAGCGGCCTCCATCCACCCGTTCGCTTGGCAGCCGACCACAACATCTGCACGCAAGGAAAAAGAACGGTTGACGACTCTGGTAGTAACGGGAATAAACACGCGCGACGATCACGTACCGTTCGGGAAGTCACCCTTGGGGAGTGTCTTGCGCTTGAAAAACACCCACGGCTTCAGCTTCTCGCCCGTCGCCGTGCACGCAAGCATGACGGTCACTCTCTCCTTCTGGTACCCACCGCTGCGGATGGGCACCGACCTCACGCCCGTCTGCTCCACAGTGGTCGTCGCCGGCATCTCCAACCACAGCGGTGTCTGGTCGGCGTTGATTATGTAGCGGTTGTCAATGTCGTATTCGTTCCGGGCGTCACGTACGTACTGCCAAAAATCCTTGCACTACTCAGCCACGTCCGCGGAACAGGGAGATAAGTACACATAGTAAACCAAATTAGTATCACGCACAGGAGACATGCGAAAAAGAAACTAAGCATAATCGGGATAAATCAAAATCAGCAGTAGACGACCCACTTACGCTCCAGTGTTTTCTGCGCCACCTTTGTTTTCATGCGCACGGTGAGGTTCCACCGCTTGCGGAACCGCTCCGTCCACCGCTGACTGCCTTTCCACTTGACGTCCGGGAAGAGAACCTTCATCACTTCTTTGGACCACTCTTGCAGCCGGCCGACCGAAACCGCAACTCCGCGGCGTCGCCAGTCGAGGAGTTGCGCGTACACCTTTAACTCCATGGGGCGGTACCAAGACGCCCTCCCGCGCCCGTGAAGTCGCATCCGTGCTCCGTGTGCAGCCTTGAGCGCCTCCGCTTGGGCTTTCCATTCTGTCAGACATTTTCGGTGTATGCCTGACTCCCGCGCCACTTCGCTCACCGAAGCCGCAAGCTCGAGCCGCACGAGCCACCTCAACTTCTCCTGGGCGGTGTAGGACTGTCGCTTATGTTGACTCTGCTTGTGCCTGGGGGAGGGGGGGCGGGCATCTCGATTCTCGGTAGACGGGTGGGGGCGTTTTTTGTTAAGGGGCGGATACGTCGGTATCGGCATCTTCGCGCGTGGTGCGTCGCGCCACCAGGACTCCACACCGTCCTCGTCCTCGGCAGTTGTGTCACGGTCGGGGAACACGTCTTCCTCGTCGCCCGCTGCACCGGCGCCACCAGCTTCACCGTCGCCTCCAGCTTCGCCGGCGCCGCTGTCATGTTTATCGGCGGCCACATCATCGTCGGCGCCCACAGCCGACCCATCCCACGCGCAGGATTCAGGTTGTCCCCACCATGGTGCAGGCGCCGGAGCTTGGATGCGTGCATCGGGGGCCTTGGGTGTGTCCGCTTCAGCTAACCATTCGTCGAACGTGGCCGGTAAATACAGTTGGAGCACGGGCCGTTGGTGAGCACCTGCCGTAACAGACTCAGGCGGATTCGGAGGAGCGGGAGGTGCGGGAGGAGCGGGTGGAGCAGGAGGCGCAGGAGGAGCAGGAGGAGCAGGGGGTGCAGGGGGGTCTGGTGGCACTAGAGGCGCTGGTGGCTCACGGGTATACCACCCGTCCTCGGTAAGTCGCCATGTGCGGCAGGGCTTTTTCTTGAAGAGGATGTGAGTCCCACTAAATTCCGCCATGGCTTCGCCTGCCAGGCGGGGTTGACAAGAAACTGAATGAAAAAATCAGAGAAGAGGGTGAAGAAATGGGCAACGACGGTGACCCCTGCTGCGTGGCGGCTCGGGTTCCTCGTCGATGACAGGCAGGAAACCCCCGCCTACTCCCGTAGAGGCGCCTGCGTGGCAGCATCTACGCTGCGCTGGCAGGGAATTTTGCCGAACCTTCGAGATGGTTCTGCCCGAATGCACATGCCACGCATCGCATGCGGCTCTGATTGGGCCGCACGGCAACATCCTCGTCACGGCTGTCACTGTCGATGTTTCCAGACAACATTGTGCGGTGGGAAACCGAACCGCTGCGGTTTCTGCCTGAAAACCATACACGATCCCACTTGGTGCATGGTTGGTTGAATTCGCCTTATTGAGAGCTTCACAATGGTGTGTTTAAAATTGACTTTCATTTTATCCTTTATACAAGCGCATGCGCTTATAAATCAGACTCAATTATAAGCGCACCCCCCCAAAAAACCAGGTTTTATTATAAGCGCAGGTGCGCTTATATCCGGGGTATTACGGTACCATGTTAATAATCAAGGGTCCTATATTGAGGGCATGTAGCAATCCATACTATCTATAGCACAACCCAATCTAGCCTACAATGACACATGCAAATATAAGCATGTGTACTTTGACAGGTTCGGCAACGAGCCAATCCTGTAAGAGGTTTAGGGTAACTCAGTAGTTATAACAAACTCCTTTATTTTGTCTCGAACATGTCCACAAGGACAGAGGGGGCTTGTTGAGTGATGTTGTTGAGAGGGATGTGTAGGTCGCGCGCGAACACTCGCTTCACCAGCTCGTATGTTTCCTGGGGATTCAATGGGGAATGGAAAAGAAAGTTGATGTCAGCAAAGGAATAAGGAACACTTGGAGGACAAACTTCCCATTTGGACGATTTCGAATCGCTGTCTCCTTGTCTGACACACATGCCTTCCCCATCCGCGTTCCTATTTCCAAAAGTGTACCTGGCTCGAGACAAAAACGAGCGTACCTTGTCGTATTTTTTCGCAAGCTTGGTGTCGGCGCGGGTCTGGTGCGCGTTGACGCCGAAGTTGAAGATGTCGAGATGATCGCCTCCGAATCGGTTCACCACATTCTTGGCATCCTCCTCCAGATTCTCAAACCGCCCCACAAAGTCGTACTTGATCTTGTCCATGAAGCAAATGTCCGACTGCAGATTATAACGAAACAAAGAGAATAGAACAGACAAGAGAGATTGTCACCCCATTGGCCAGAGCATAGGAGAGAGCATGTGCTGACGAGCTGGAGGGCATGCGGTGACCAGTGCGTGCCATGACCTGCTTTGCTATCGCTGTATGGGCCTGCCATGCCATGTGCCTGTCCGCATGGCCTCACCTGCCATGCCATGTGCCTGTCCGCATGGCCTCACCTGGGATGCAATGTGGCGGTCCATGCGCCAGCGGTGGTTCTGCATGAGCTTCGCCACGAGCTTCACAAAGTCAGGGAACGACACCAGGTCGTCCTTTCCCTTCACCTTCTCCCAATGCGGCCGAATGTACTTGAAGAATTGCTGTGCGTGGAGCGGAGAGGCAGGGGTAGAGGACAAAGACAGGCAAGATTGAAGATTCCATGCAGCATGAGACATGCAGCCCACTTGAAAAGGCTCCCGGGGATGGCAAGCACAAGCGGTCAGCAACACGCAGCAGCAAGCACAGCTCAACCCCACACCCAGACTCACCTCGTTCCAATACTCTCTGGACCCGGGCCCGGTCTTGTTGTGGGGCGCATCCGTGATGACGAGCTTGTTGGAGTAGGCGGAGAGCACGCGGGAGAAGGGGTTGCGCACGAAGGTGAACTTGAACAAGTCCGGGCGGGTCACCTGCTGCACCGCCTGCTGCTCCGTGAAGTGCAGCGTCAGCATGTGCCACCCCGCCCGCCGCGGGTCCAGCGCGAGAATGGGGTCCTCTGGGTGCGGCTGCCCCAGCATGGCGCGCAGCCACATGAGCCACGAGTTGGCTGCTACCTTGGGCATCGTGCACACCATGAGCTTAAGTTTTTCTGGAGAAGGGCGCACGAAAGAAGGCATGGCAGGGGGAAAAAATGGGAGGGGAGGAGGAATGGAGAGGGGGAAGGAATGGGCATGGGCCGTGGAGCGCATTGGGCTTGATGCACCCACCAGCTTTAGAGTCTCTGGCGAGGCGTGTGACATGCCTTTCATGGGGCGAGAAGGGAAAATGATTGAACTCAAGAGAGCAACAGGTGTGCTGTCTTTCACAAGGCAGTGAGAGGCGTCTCACCTTCCACTTGAGTGAACATGGCCCACTTCTGTTTTATAATTGGCCGCAGCTCCACCGACTCGCACACCGACCGGTGCACGCCGAACGACGCCGACCGCGCGCGGCCTTGCGCTGTAACGAAGCGCGCTTCTATGGAGGATCGGTTCACTGCCAGCAGCCCCCGGGCGAAGCTGAGCGTGAACAGCTCTGCCACCTGCATGGGAGGAGAAAAGGCTGACGCTCGTGAGGAGAGACTAGAATAGTCCAGCATAACAATGACCTAGAATATTGAAGCAGACGGACAACGGAAGCTGAGTGAGTGCGCCACTGCTCAGATCGCCGCTCACTTGGTCCCTCACATCGTTCCCTCCTGAGACGAGATCTCTCAGAACCGTGCGCCCTGGAGCATGGCAGCTCACCTGCAGCTGGCTGCACCTCGTCACTTGCGCCCCAAGCGCTCGATCCAACCCGCGTTGCACCACCAGCCCTGCACCTCCTCCCCCCGCCACCACGCTCCCATTCACTCCGCCTACCACCCGATCCTCCTCCCCACTCTCCACCAACTCCCTCCTGTCACCCTCCCCCTCTTCCCTCCCCTCCACTCCCCCGACGCGGCACGACGCATTCCGCTGCTGGGTGCTTTTGAGCACGAGCGGGGTTCTGAGAGGGCTGAAGTAGCTGCTGAGCACCGTGACGTCCGACGTGTTGAGGCCTCCCGCTGTGAAGCTCACTGCTGGGTCGTACAGATACTCCATTGTCACTCGCCGCATGGCGCAGTGCGGTGCAGAACGGTTGGAGTTGGCGGTGCAGCCGGAGCACACGCCTTGTGTCAGTTGCTGGTGGGTGAAGAGAGCGAGGAGGAGAGAGGTGCCATTGTTGGCAGTGTGCAGGGGGAAAGGAGGGGGGCAGGGGAAAGGAGGGGGGCAGCGGAAATGAGGAAAGGGAAAGGAAGGTGGCTGGGGAAAGGATGGGTGCAAAGAAAAGGAGTGGGCAGGGGGAATCGGTTGAGAACATCCCTGACCGCAGTCACCCTACTCCTCACCGCACTGCACCCCTCACCGCACTCCACTCCACCCCTCACCGCACTGCACCCCTCTCCAACACTCACGTCAACCAGCACGGCGCTGGACGCCGCCACGCGCGCCAGGTCCTCCTCCACCACAATCGCCGCCACGGCGGCCGACGGGCGAATCGCGGCCAGACACGAGTCCACCTCGCGCTCGAACGCGCACGCGTCGACGCGCAGGGGGCCGGTGGATTTCTCCCGCACGGCCGGCGACAGAAAGACCTTGAACGGCAGCCCGCTGGCGGACGGCGCGGGCTTGCCGTCCGTCGTGTTCTTGCATGGCATGAACGCCACCTGATGCAAGGGAAGGGGATGCGAGGGATATGGATGCGGGGGATGAGGGGGGTGAGGCGGAGGGGTAGAGGTCGAGAGGAGCGGGCAGAGACTTGAGGGGAGCGCGGACGTGGGATGATGATGCGAAGGACGGGGAGGTGAGCATCCGGAGAGTAACGGGCGGAGAATAACAGGGGGGAAGTAACCAGCGCAGAGAAACAGGCGGAAGGGTGCGCAGAGAAACAGGCGGAAGGGTGCGCAGAGAAACAGGCGGAAGGGTGCGCGGAGGGGTGTCAACAGAAGGGCATCGCAAGGGCGATGCGAGCAAACGACGAATGACTGGGAAGGGCGAGCGGGAGCAACGAGCACGACGCAGCCGTCGACGGCCCTCGAGCGCGCAGGGCACGGCAAGGGCACGGCAAGGGCACGGCAAGGGCACGGCAAGGGCACGGCAAGGGCACGGCAAGGGCACGGCAAGGGTAACGGAAACAGCCAAACGTACCCGTCGGCGGCCCTTGAGCGCGCGCCTCAACATGCCCGCCTCGGCGGGCGTGTCCTGTACCCACACGCCCCCCTCGCGCCCGCTCTCGCCGCGCGCGCGGGATGACGCGGGGGAAGGCGCGGGGTCGTGCGCGAGGCGGAAGAGGTGGCGGAACGTGGTGGCGGGCAGGTGGCGGTCGGCGGGCCAGAGGGCGAGCGTCGGCATGTTGGTCACGGCCGTCAGCGCGTACGCCGCGCACACCGCGTGCACACGCTGCGACACAGAGCCCTGAGGGAGAATTTGCCAAGGGACGGAGTGAATGAGGGAGGGGCGGGTCGTAGAGAGGGGGAAATGGGGGGCGGGAGGGTCAGAAGAGGGAGGCCGCTTGTTCGTACATACGATGATATCCGCGATTTTCGGAGCTAAGAGAACGCGAGGACATTGAACAGCAATAGGAAAACAAGGGGGCGACGCCATTGACAGCGTCAAGGCGTGGGCGGTGCCTCTCACAACCCCGACCGTGAGACACGAGAGGTGTATTCTCAGAAGTGGTAAGAACTCCGTGGGGCGCGAGAGATGGTGACCTCAGCAGCCCTCCAATCCCCACATACCGCGGCCACGAAGACCGCGTCGGCTCGTCGCACAGGGCAATCGCCGATCGCATCGCTCGCGTCGCATTTCCACGGGTCTTCGTCTAGAAACAGCTTCGAGCGCGCGTCGCCATTCTCCCTGCCAGACTCGTCCGTGGCCTGCCAGAAGCCCATAGAAAGTTTCTTCGCGCTCATGGCGAGCGAGCGGCTCTCGAGCATGACGGCGACGTTAGGGTTGCACGAGGGGGCCATCCAGTGGCCCACGGTGTAGAGCACCATGAGCGGCAGCAGCACCATCACCACGCACCGCTCCCATGACGCGGCGCGCGGCCGGTCTGGAGTTGAGCATGCTTTGCGCTTGTGGAAGAACACCATGATTGGCGCGGACGGAATTATGATTGGTGAGCCGCGTGTGCCACCCCTCCACGGACGGAATTATGTTGCACAGTGAGAAAGGTTTCGGCGGCACCTAATGAGCTAGGACGTTCGCGTCAATGTGGGTGTGCTGAAGGAGTACTTTTGGTTGAACGGTGATGTTTGTTGTGCGTGGTGGATGCTAATTCAGAAGCAAACGCGTGCTTCGCAGGCGCTTGATCACGGCACTCGCAACTGCAAAAACAAATACAACCTAGAGGCTACAAAAAACTGGTACTTCACGACGGGAGTAGGGGCCGAATAACTCAGCTATGTAGGATGAGGAGGTAGCCTTGAAATTCAGAACCAGGGACGAAAAGGTGAGGGTGTTGTGCATGGTTGTGGGTTGAACTTGGGAGGGAGTTGTGCCGTGAAGGGCAAGCGCACCGCTACTGTACCTCCCGCGCCGCACGCGCGAAATTCCTCGCCTTGCCTCTCCCTCCCTCTGCGCTCTGTGACTTCGGCTCGGAACCTCGCCCCAGCCCGAGCCGAGCTTCGTTCGGGCTGTCTGGCACACCTGCTGCACCGAAGCTTCATGACTATTCACGTCCAACGAGTCAAACAGCTTGGCTCGTTGAGGAGGAGCCAAACCAGTTGCTTCTGGTCTTGGAGGCTCATGATTGGTAAGTTCACCAACCAGTACACTGGCGCGACACCAGAAGCATGTGTCAGAAGAGGTGCTTGAAAGACGACATTGCGGAGTTCCCAAATTTGTCGCACTGTAACCTTTTCGTTCCCAGCCTTGTCAGGGAAACTTTCTACCCGAGCATCCCCTCGCCCAATCACCTTCGACGGCGGGAGGCCCTGCTGGAGCTTTGGCGCAAACCCAACGGACCTACCATACCACTCGCCTATACCCCGTTCCCCCCTGTCTTGTCTCGCCTAACCACGCCTCCCCCGACCCGAACCTAGCTCTTTCAAATTCCTGCCTCCCGAAAATCGTTCAGTCTGTTCTCCCCGTCGCACGGGAACAACCACTGAGCAAGGCGACTTTTGTTTGTCGTCACTGGCCTTGCGACCCGACCCGACATCGTCGCAGGTCAGGGTACGAAAGGTCGTGACCAGTGACATGCTGCAAGTCTGGCGAATGGGCTGATAAGAACCGCTAGCTCTCACCCCAAGAGGGAAAGAGGTCACTCCCAAGTTTCTCTCCCAAAGTACCAGTTAGGGGCCTGCCGAACAAGGCTCTGAATATCGTTAGTGGTCACTCTCTTACCACGAAACTGACACCAAGGTCCATTCGAGTTTCCATCACTTGTAGTTGTCTGAGATGGCCTGACTTCGTAACAAGTGACATCGGAAGAATGAGTTGACTGACTGTTTGAACTGCCGTTCCGTCGCGTAACTTATTACTGGGCTTTGTGAGAAGCAGGCAGGAAGAGCTTAGGGCAGTATCCACCCTAACAGCAATCGAGCCCAGTCCACCCCATCCCGTGCTTTCTAGAAGCGTCGAGCCGACATTTAAGAACCGGGAGCGATATCGCGACGTTTTCTCGATGCGGTCGTGGGTTCACGCTTGACATTAAATTTATTCTTCCAGGAGCCTCCGAAATTGATGCAGGCTCAGATCCCTGTTTGACCGACAGCGTACAGCTTAGCAGCTGCAGCCATGACAGGCAAGAAGAAACACTCTAGTAGCGTGTTTCGAATAGTCAGAGGGTTCGGCGCAGCGCTGCTGCTCGTTCTCGTCTTAAAGCCCATCGTGCCGTGCCTGTGGTCGCGCGAGCCCGGCATCTGTCCAATCCTCGAGGTCCCGTCCCTCGCGCGGCGAGAGATCAAGGAGGCCGCTGAAGCCGGGAAACTGGAGTCACGAGTTTCAGTCTCGGAAAGCGCGAGCAGTGTTTCGGAAACGGTTAAGAGCGATGCAGGGAAGATGGAGGAGCAGCAGGTGGCTGATGCAGCAGCAGCGGAGAATGGCAGGGAGTTAGCTGCTGCTAAGCTCGCCTTATCCGCTGAGCTAGATTCACCTATTAACGCGGATAATTTATCGTCGCAAAGGAGAAGCTCGGGTGTAGAGGAGGCAGAGGAGGAGGAGTCGATGACGTCAGCGGTCGAGTCGATGTCGGAAGACGACAAGGAGCGCGATGTGAAGTCGCTGTGGCGCTGCCAGGGCGGATCCGGCGCCGTCGACTGCGCTGAACCGCAGGCGCTCTTGCTGGCCGAGGTGAGCGAATGCAGGGCGAGGTGAGCGAATGCAGGGCAAAGTGAGCTCGCGAAGGGGAAGTTAGATGCGAATTCGGTGGACGATGAGGGTTGGCGGGTATTGCAGCTCTTTAAGACACGTACAACTGCCATGGAATGAGGAGCGTACGAATGAGAAGGTACGTGCGAATGTCATGGAGTAGAAAGCGTACGAATGCCATGGAGTAAGATACGTACGAACGTACGAATGTCGTGAAGTAAGATACGTACGAACGTACGAATGTCGTGAAGTAAGATACGTATGAACGTACGATTGTCGTGAAGTAAGATACGTGCGAACGTACGAATGTCGTGAAGTAAGATACGTACGAACGTACGAATGTCGTGAAGTAAGATACGTACGAACGTACGAATGTCGTGAAGTAAGATACGTACAAACGTACGATTGCCATGGAGTAAGATACACTGGAACTCCATGGAGCAAGGTATGTATTAATGTGCGAAGGTCAAAGAATGGGACCAACGAAGCTGGCAGACGCAATGGCAACAGCATGGCTTCATCAACTGCTCGTTGAATATGGGCGGCTGAGTGAACGTGGTGGCCGAAAAGGTTCTATGATGTGGGGGGGAATGATGTGTGGGGAGTTGACACAGCGGTGCAGTGATGTGAAGGCGGCGCGCAGGCTGCCCCAGGTTGCGCTGTCTCAGCGCGGAGAGCATGGCGCGCGCAGCAGCGAGGAGAGAGATGACGGGCGTGTTTGATGGGCGCCAATCGTGGCATGTGCGCTTCTCATCCATCTTTCGTCCGTTTAGCACCCCTTCTTCTATTCCGTTTTCCCCTCACCCCCCACGTGGCTCGCTGTGAGGCTGCGTGCACGCGTTTAGGCAGCACACACTCAGGCGCATTCCCCCCCTTCTCCCCACCTCTCCCACCCTTCCCCCCTCCTCCCCCTTCCCCCCTCCCCGCAGGGCGCGCTGGCGCAGCGCGTGCACGCGGTGTGCGCGGCGTACGCGCTGACGGCTCTCACCGGCGCGCCCACGCTCGCCGTGTGGCCCGCCGACCGCCACCTGCCCGCCACCACCTTCCGCCACCTCTTCCGCCCCGCCAGCAGCATGGCCATCCCCCCGGGGGACGTGGCGGACAGCGCGGTGAGCGGAGAGGCGCGCGACGTGTGGGTGCGCGACGTGCGCATGCCCAGCAGCGACCTCACGGCGAGGTTGCACACGTCGCAACAGGTGAGCAGTTGTGGTCGGCTGTGGTGAGCTGTAATGGGCTCTGGTGAGCGGAGAGGCGCGCGACGTGCGCATGGCCAGCAGCGACCTCACGAACAGGCTGCCCGCGCCACAGCAGGTGAGCCGTTGAGATGGGCTGTGGTGGGCTGTGGTGGGCTGTGGTGGGCTGCGGTGGGCTGTCGTGGGCAGTGATGGGCTGTGATGGGCTGTGATGATTTGCAGAAAGAGCACAATATCTGTACTCTTACCCGTCGCTCATCCCCTTTTTTATTGTGAAACTCCTTCCGCACAATTGTATGTCTTGCCTCCTCATTCCTCTGCATTCCTCTGCACGCCTTGCCACCGAGCTCCGTTGCAGGTGATGCTCAAGGAGTGCCCACGAGGCAGCAGGAGAAAGACCAAGCGCACCCCTCTGCCCTTCCGCCGCTACCTCTCCCCCTCAGCTCAGTCCCAGGTGTGCTAATTCAACATTTTCCCGTGCCTGCGTCCTCCACTCACTCATCTAAGTTCCCCATTGACTCATTCACTCGCCTCATTCACTCATCCCCTGCCCCACATTACACACCGTCCTTTTAATTTAACTGTCCATCTGCCGGCTCGCTTCTCCGCCTCTCCGCCTCTCCACCTCTCCACCTCTCCGCCTCTCCGCCTCTCCGCCTCTCCGCCTATCCGCCTCTCCGCCTCTCCGCCTCTCCGCCTCTCCGCCTCTCCGCCTCTCCGCCTTCTCCTGCCTCTACCGCTCTGACTACCTTCCTTCCCCCACCCCAACAGGCTTCCGGTGCACTGAATCTGGACGGGTGCGCGTACGACAAGCACGTGGACGCGTGTTTGGGGCGCCTGCGTCCGTCCACGGCGGTGGGCGCGCTGGTGATGCAGGAAGACCTGGATGCGCTCAAGCTCTCCAAAGCCATCTATGTGTCGGTGAGCCCGCATGCCCCCACTTTATGCATGCCAGTGAGTGCATGGCATGGCACTCTATCGCGTACATGGGTGTGCGGCCCTCCACGGGTGATGCACGAGGACCTGGCCGCGCTCAAGCTCTCCAAAGCCATCTATGCGTAGGTACGTGTCGGTATGTGTGGGTGGTAGGATTGAATACCGTGGGTGGCTCTGCATGCATGCATGCGCCCACTCCTTGTGCATGCTGCTCAGTGCATGGCACTCTGTAGCGTACAGTACACAGGTGTGCTGCCCTCCCCGGCGGTGGGCGCGCTGGTGATGCAGGAGGACAAGTCGATTTTTGAGGCGACTAAATAATCAACTTATCACACACGAGGACCTGGCTGCACTCAAGTTCTCCAAAGCCATCTACGTCTCGGTGAGCATGCATGCGCCCACTTAATGCGTGTGAGCGAGCGTGTGCCACCCTGCGCAGAGGAGACTGTTGCGTGCCACTCTGCCGCGTATAGTGCACAGCTCACCTGTCAAGGCAACTTTGCCATACGTAAACCGAAAACCCTGAGTCCTAAACCTGAATTGCGAAGCCTAAACCCTGACCTTGATGGTGCACACGCGTTTGGGCGCGCTCAAGCCCTCCAACGACGTATGCGTTCTGGTGAGCAAGGGTACGGATGTCTCTGTGAGTGGTAGGCCTTCCCCCTCCCCTCTCCCCTCACCTTCCTTCTCCTTCCCCTTCACCTGCCCACCCACCCGCATCTACCCACACCCGTCCAGAAACCCCCTGCTGGTGCATGCTGCTCTGCTGCCCCGTATCGCCAACGCGTCTGCTCCCCTCTGCACCATGCGCCGCCTCATCATAGCCTCTCCCCCCCTTCCCCCCCTTTCACCACCGGAATCCCCCTGCTGGTGGCCCCTGCTCCAGCTGCCCCCCTGCTCGCCAACCCATCAGCCCCACTATGCGCCATGCGCCGCGTCACCATGGCCTTCCCCCCTTTCCCCCCTTCCACTACCAGAAGCCCCCTGCTGGTGCCCCCTGCTCCGGCTGTCCCCGTATGGCCAACTCGTCCGCCCCGCTGTGCGCCATGCGCCGCGTCACCATGGCCTTCCCCCCTTTCCCCCCTTCCACTACCAGAAGCCCCCTGCTGGTGCCCCCTGCTCCGGCTGTCCCCGTATGGCCAACTCGTCCGCCCCGCTGTGCGCCATGCGCCGCATCACCATGGCTTTTCTGCACGACCCCCACGTGGCCTTCGCCCTCGCCGCCCGCGCCGCCCCCGACGTCACCGCTGTTGGGGACTTCTTCAGCGAGCTGCGCCGCCCGCTCGTGCTCAAGGCCAGCCAATCGCGGCTCGACACGTGTCAGGAGGGGGGGAGGAGGGAGTTGGCGGAGGGGAAGGGGGTGCTGGGGAGTGAAGTGGGCGGGACCAGCATCAAGTGCGCTCAGCTGCAGGTGCGACCACATGCCAGTGCATGGCTGAGTGCATGTGTGGCTGCATGTGTGCATGGGTGCATGGGTGCATGGGTGCATGGTGCATGGGTGCATGGGTGCATGGGTGCATGGGTGCATGGGTGCATGGATGCATGGGTGCATGGGTGCATGGGTGCCTGAGTGCATGGGTGCATGGGTGCATTGCGAATCCATAACTTGTCACTCTATTGCATTGCGCCACCCCGGTACGCTCATACTCACCACACACCCCGCGCCCCTCAACTGCTCCACACCGTCTCCACCAACAAATATGCTATTCCGTTGTCCTCCCTCTGCTGTTTTCCGCTGGCCCCTTTGCCCCTCCTCCCCCGTCTTCCTCTCCTCCCAGCCAGTCTGTGCAAGTGCTTGCTTTTATCCTCTCCCCCTCTCCCCATCTCGCCTTCTCCCCCTCTCCCCATCTCGCCTTCTCCCCCTCTCCCCATCTCGCCTTCTCCCCATCTCCCCATCTCGCCTTCTCCCCATCTCCCCATCTCGCCTTCTCCCCCTCTCCCCAGTGCTGCACTCCTTCCTCCTTCCATCCTTCCCCTTGCTACTCACCCCCACTCCACCGCTTTCCCCGTCCCATGAACCCCCCATTCCCCCCACCTCTCCCCCTCTCTCCCTCTCCCCCCCCGCCAGGCAGCGGAGCTGTTTGCTTTGAGCTTCGCGAGGGCGCTGGTGCCGATCCACCGGTGGGCCATCGAGCCGCGCTTCATCCTCGCCCAGGGCGCCCGCCGCTCCCCCGCCTTCCAGGTGCCGCTCCCCCGCCTTCCAGGTGCCGCTCCCCCGCCTTCCAGGTGCCGCTCCCCCGCCTTCCAGGTGCCGCTCCCCCGCCTTCCAGGTGCCGCTCCCCCGCCTTCCAGGTGCCGCTCCCCCGCCTTCCAGGTGCCGCTCCCCCGCCTTCCAGGTGCCGCTCCCCCGCCTTCCAGGTGCCGCCCCCCCGCCTTCCAGGTGCCGCCCCCCCGCCTTCCAGGTGCCGCTCCCCCGCCTTCCAGGTGCCGCTCCCCCGCCTTCCAGGTGCCGCCCCCCCGCCTTCCAGGTGCTGCTCCCCCGCCTTCCAGGTGCCGCTCCCCCGCCTTCCAGGTGCCGCCCCCCCGCCTTCCAGGTGCCGCCCCCCGCTCGCCCCTCCTGCTGCTCTCCCTTAGTGTTCCTCTCATTCCCCACTCGCCTCCTGTCTGCCATGTGCCACCCGCCATGTGGTTTTCCATCTGATCTCATTGCAGATTGCCTCCCATTCCTCCTCCATCTTGCTCTGGTGCACTTTAAAGCCCTAAGCACTCAATCGTTTCAGCTCACCTCCTTACTTCAGCAACCCATCCCCCCCATGTGCACATCGCCCCCGTTCCTGTGCTCTTCCTGTGCTCTTTACCCCTCCGTCTTTGCTCAACTCCCGCCGCCATGTGCTGCCAGGTGCTGCCGTCCATCTGCGAGACGGAGAGGTTGCCGCCCATCATTCGACACCGGTGGTCGTGGTTCACACAGGTGGAAGGTGAGATGGTCGTGGTTCACACAGGTGGAAGGTGAGATGGTCGTGGTTCACACAGGTGGAAGGTGAGAGCAAAAGCATAGGTGCGAAAAGATGCACATCTGGCCTAATGTGCGAGGAAGGCGAGAAATTTATGACTTTTGAAGCTGCTACAATGAAGGAGGCTGTTCAAGTTTAGCTCGCTGCACAGGTGGCAGGTGGTGAGGCAATGGCCTCACCCTCCCCCTTTCTGGCACCCAACGCATGCGTCGCATGTGCCTCCCAGTGCTGATCATATGCATTTTGCCCAGCGGCCCCTCTTGCTCACACCTTATTCCTCCCCTTCCCCCTTTTTGATGGAGATTTCTCGCCAGAGAAGCAGGTGATCTCCACCGTGCCCCACCTGCTCCATTCATTCCCCAAGCTAGTGCTGCGCACCATGCCCACCATGATCAATTCACCTGTTCCCTTTTCGCCTCTCTCCATGCAATGTATCGCGTGTCCCCCTGTTCCCAAAAGAGAAGCCGAAGCTGGTGGTGTGCACGATGCCCAAGGTGCTCCATTCACCGCGCTCAGTCATTCGCCTGTCTCTCCCATGCATCGCATCCTGTGTGTCCTGCCCCCCCACCAGAGAAGCTCAAGCTAGTGGTGTGCACGATGCCCAAGGTGGCGGCCAACTCGTGGCTCATGTGGCTGCGCGCCAAGCTGGGGCAGCCCAACCCGAATGACCCCATCCTCGCCCTCGACGTGGACAAGGCCGGCTGGCACCTGCTGGGGAGGCACTTCACAGAGAAGGAAGCGGTGAGCCTGCAGTGATTGCTGCGCTGCGATTTCATTATATGACTTCATGGTAGCAATTGAGACCTCACAAGTCCTGATATGCACCAAGCGGACTTCACAGAGAAGGAAGCAGTGAGTGTAGCACCCGGGTAGTGCGGAGCTCAATCCGCCCGTATTTCGTCCGCTTGCTTATCCGCAACCATCTTTGTCAATCTAAACCCACTTTATTCCCGTGAATCGCTTCCCATGGATTTTCCTCCTTCCCCTCTCTTCCCCCTTCCCCTTTACTCTTCCCTTTTCCGTTCCCCTTTACCCTTCCACTTTCCCCTCCCGCCCTTGTACCTGCAGGTTCGTCTGGTGACGCGCCCGGACTTCTTCCGCTTCACCTTTGTGCGCAACCCCTTCTCGCGCGCCCTCTCCGCCTACTCCAACAAGCTCGTCGTGACAGACACCCCCAACAACAAGACGGGCCCGGGCTCCAGAGAATACTGGAATGAGGTGAACCAAGGGGGTGAGGAATGAAGTGAGGGGCAACTTTTGGACTCTCCCCCTGCTTGCATTGCTCCGGTTCCCCCCCATGGCACAACAGCGTTTCTTCCGGTTTGTGCGGCCGCAGCTCAAGGGCGAGGAGCACCTCTGTTGAGGCACACATATCTCATACAAACCTTGCAACTGCCGTTTCTTCCGATTGCCCCGGTCCCCCCCCCCCCCCCCCCCCCCCCCACACGGCAGCGTTTCTTCCGGTTTGTGCGGCCGCAGTTTGAGCTGCTCAAGGGCGAGGACGACCTCGTGTCGTTCCCCGACTTCATGCGCCTCGTTGCCCTCATGAAGAAGAACTTCCGCTGGAAGATGGACCGCCACATCGCCCCGCAGGTGTGTCCGATGTGCTTATAATGACAGGTGAGCCTGTGATGGCAGGTGAGCCTGTGATGGCAGGTGGGCTTGTGATGGCAGTTGCACTGGTGGTAACTGCATGCCGGGCAGCCGCATGAGCATGAGCGTGCATCATCACCTCGCTTTGCCTGCCTCTCATGTGCCACTCCTGAACTCTCTGTGCTGCTGTCGCCTCTCTGCTGTCTCTGCCCTACCTCTTTGCCTGTGCTGCCTCGCTGCCTTGTCAAACTATATATAGGTGCTGGTTCTATGTAGGCTGTAGTGCATATGGGGTACAACCCAATGTTAGGGTTCTATTTGTACCCACCTTCCTCATAGTTCATTCATTCCTGCTTGCTATCTTGACATGCCTGTGTGCTGTGCTGCCTCTGCCTGCCCTGCCTTGGCTGCTGCTTCTCCGCCTCTGCTGCTTCCCTGGCTGCACTGCTGGCAGGTGGACGTGTGCTTTATGCAGATGATCAAGTACGACTTTGTGGGGCGGTTTGAGAGTCTGGAGGAGGATGCCAAGTATGTGGTGAACCGATTCGGAGGCGACCATCTCGACATCTTCAACTTCGGCGTCAACGCGCACCAGACCCGCGCCGACACAAAGCTTGTCAAGAAGTACACAAAGGTTAGTTCTGCTGCAGCAGCTGCTGTACGGTGGGATCTTGAGTCCTGACATGGCTAAAGTGGGACATGGTCATATAGGTTACCTGTACCGTTTGTTTTGTTCTGTTTTGTTTGTTTGTTTGTTTTGATGCTGAATAGTTGTTGACCTTTTCGTGTTTGGTTGGTGCAGGACGCATATGAGCTTGTGAAGGAGGTCTATGCTCAAGACTTCTTCATCCCTCTCAATAATATCACACAAACGGCACCTCCTGTTCTATCTCAGATCTTTGAGGGTTGAAGCTCATTGTTTACAAGGTAGGTAGCCAAAGGCTGGCAGAGGAATTGTTGTGAGATAAGGATCGAATCCAGTCCCCATAAGAGACGCTTATGCTAACAGATGGTAGAAGTGGCATATAGAAAAATATTACCAGTAGCATGCGGGTTGGCAAACACCGTTTGACGGTAACGTGCGAGGAATCATCGAGCCCATGTGAACAGTTATGCGTGGTGTATTCACACGCAGAGAAAGGAATCTGATGATTAAATCAAAATTTATCTTAAAAAACGCGGTGAGATTAAAATATTTATTGCAGAACCTTCAATTTGGTCGCTAACGTGTAACTGACACTTCGCGCTCGTACTTAGCGAAAGCGTAAATGATCACGGAAACTCGAAGGGACGTTCATGGCTTCTCCCTGTTTCCGTGCAGTTTCCGCTGCCCAAGTTTGGGGCCGTTATTTGAGCCGAAATTCTGGGAAGAGGAAAATCGTTGTTTCCGTGGTCCTGATCAAATCAAGGACCAATCGAAAAGGGCCGCTTTTTGCTTTGCGGCGTCGCGCTCGTGCGAAAGACCAGGAAGGAGGGTGATCAACCGCCATTCTCCGGTCGGCTTCCGCCCTCTCTCTTCTCCGCGCTATTACCGCCAAAAACCTCCACATAGACTTCCTTCCCCATAAGTGCTCTCCGCTCGAACCTCCCCTCCCTCCCTGCCTAATGGCTCCGCTTCCCATCTGCGCGATTTCCCGCCGCCCCTCGCCCATTCGCGTCTCCTCAATCTCCCCCTCCTACCCACGTGCATCTGTCCTGCCGCATTCCTCCGCTCTGCCCCTTCCTCCTCCATGAGACTGATAAGGGCGTGGGCCCAATCGAGTTTGATCTCGTCGTTCACATGCGATCATCAATTTCTAGGAAGCCTGGAAGCCAATTTTTTTGCAATCAGGGGCAATCAGCTGATCGCGATCAACTGATCGGCCAAACTCAATCAGACCCGATTTTCACCCCGATCAAAGTCGATTTTCCTCGATCACAGGCGATCACCTGATTGCATGTGATCGGGGCCCACAGCGATGCTTGCGATTAGTTACACTGTTAAAATTACAGAGAAACGAAAAGTTTCGCCAGGTGACATCTGGTCGCCAATCTCGCTAGAATAGGGGCGAAAATGCGACGTAAATGCATAGCGCTTGCTCCGCAGGCGTTGGAAATCTTCTTCGAAAAACAAATCTGATCGGGCGGCTCGGGCTTTGTGATCACAAGCAACCCGATCAGATCCGACCCGATCAGATCAATCGCGATCAGACTCGATTGGGCCCACACCCTAACAGCCAGCCATCACCAAGGGTTCTCTCATTTGCTCAGCTTGCTTGGACGGATCAGTAGACACACATTTCCCAGTTGTTCAGTCACCAGCTGTGTCTAATAGTGAACGACCAACGTTCCTTGTTGCGCTCCCACGATCTCTCGCAGTTAATACATTTTTTAGCTTCCAGCAGCTAGATTTAGCATCGTCAGTAATCGCAAAACAGTGGAAGACGGCGGCATTGCGGCGGTTACCGCCGGGATTCGGCTTCCGCCCCAGCGGAACGGGGAGCTTGTCTTCCAAAGCTCTTCGATTTCTCAGTATGCACCTCCTTTCTTTCATAATTTCCTTCCAGCTGGATTTAGCATCGTGATATAATCACAAAACAGTAGAAAATGGTGCGTTTACCGCCGGGATTCGGCCTGCTTGGACGGATCAGCAGACACACATTTCCTAGGTTGTTCAGTCACGAGCGACCTGCTAGGTTGTTCAGTCACGAGCGACCTGCGTCTAACAACGAGGGACCAACGTTCCTTGTTGCGCTCCCACCATCTCTCGCAGACACTACACACTCGAGCTTCCAGCAGCCGGATTCAGCAGCTTCGTCAATTAATCGCGCAAACAGCAAAAAATGGCGGCATTGCGGCGGTTACCGCCGGGATACGGCTTCCGCCCGACGGACGAGGAGCTGGTCCAAGGCTACCTGCGGCGGAAGGTGGAGAACCGCCTCGCGGACCACCACGCTGGGCTCATCGCTGGGGTCGACATTCTCCGCTACGAGCCGTGGGACCTGCCCGACCAGTCGCCTCTCGATGCCGGCGAGTGGTACTTCTTCTACACGCTCGAGAAGAAATATCCGGACGGCTCGCGCGTGAATCGCGCCACGCCGAGAGGGTACTGGAAGTCGACCGGCAAGGACAGGCGCGTGTGCAGCTCGCGCACGTCGCGACAAATCGGTTCCAAGAAGACGCTCGTGTTCAAGATGGGGAGGGCGCCACGTGGCGATCCGACGGAGTGGATGATGTATGAGTACCGGCTGGAGCCCGCGGTGGACTTGGTGCTGGGCCGCTTGTTCAAGAAGCCGCCTGCTGCGAGCGCTGCGAGCGAGCCGCCTGCTTCGAGCGAGCCGCGTGCTTCGAGCGAGCCGCCTGCTGCGAGCGAGCCGCCTGCTGCGAGCGAGCCGCCTGCTTCGAGCGAGCCGCGTGCTTCGATCGAGCAGCTGATGGACGTTCTGGAGCTCGAGGAGGCCGACCTCGACCATTCCGCCGCGCCGCGTGTGCCCGTTGCCGTGCCTGAGAGCGACGTGGATCTGGACACATTCTGGGAGAACATTTATCGGCAAGCTGTGTCGGCTGCGGGCGCGGCGGGGGGCCACGTGGCGGAGCATGGGGCCAGCAACGTGACAAGCCATGTGGCGGAGCACGGGCCGGGCCACGTGGCGGAGCATGAGGAGAGCCACGTGGCAGAGGACGACGAGTGGTTGTACTCGGAGCTGCCGCCGCTTGATCTCCCCGAGGGCTTCTTCGTCGACGACAGCCACGCCGCCCTCCCCGCCGCTCCCCCCGCTCCCACCGCTTTTGCTGCCCCGGGTGCGCCTGGTGCGCGTGCGATGGCGGCGCCCGATGGTTTCGCGCCTGCTGGCGCAGTGCTTGGAGTGGCAGAGCGGGGAGCACCCAGAGCAGCGACCGCATCGGCAGTACCCTCGAGGCCGGCGGCGTCCGCGCCCATCCGGCCAGCGCCCCTGCAACCAGCGCCCCTGCAACCAGCGCCCCTGCAACCAGCGCCCCTGCAACCAGCGCCCCAGCAACCAGCGCCCCTGCAACCAGCGCCCCTGCAACCAGCGCCCCTGCAACCAGCGCCCCTGCAACCAGCGCCCCTGCAACCAGCAGGCGCAACCACCTTCGCAGAGGCCCTCGCAGCGCGGGCGAAGGCCAGAGCGGCACAAGGTGCCGCCGCCGCCGCCGCCGCCGCAGCAGCAGCAGCAGCAGCAGCAGCAGCAGCAGCAGAGAGAGGCTTTGCACCGCTCGCGGCCGCTCCCTTCGCCGTCGTTCCCCTCGCAGCCGCTCCTCTTGCCTTCGTTCCCCTCGCAGCCGCTCCTCTTGCCTTCGTTCCCCTCTTTGTCGCTCCTGTCACTGCCGCTCCCCTCGCTGCCGTTCCCCTCGCCGCCGCTCCCCTCGCCGTCGTTCCCCTTGCTGCCGCTCCCCTCGCCACCGCTCCCCTCACCGCCGCTCCCCTGGGCGGCACACGTGCGAGAGCAACGGGCTGGGCGAAGTCGAGGCCTGTGCGCGCAGCTGGTGCCGTCATGCACGGGCGGCGCATGCAGACGCTCAACACGCCGCAGCTGGCGGGTGGCAGCAGCGGAGTGCGCCTGGCGAGCACCGGCGGTTGGAGCAGCGGCACGCCGTCTCGGAATCTGAGCGCGCGCCCTGCACCTCACGCGCGCCCTGCACCTCACGCGCGCCCTGCACCTCACGCGCGCCCTGCACCTCACGCGCGCCCTGCACCTCACGCGCGCCCTGCACCTCACGCGCGCCCTGCACCTCACGCGCGCCCTGCACCTCACGCACAGTTGCATCTCGCAGAGGTATTGCGGCTGCTGAGTTCGTCTTCTCAATTTTTTTCAAATTTCCAGGCTTTGTTAGTTTCTTTCCGCCGTTCCGCCTCATGGCATTTCTTGACTATTCCGCACCTTCCTCCTCTCCATCTCTCTCTGAATCAGGCCGATGGAAGTGTGGATGATGAGGACTGTCTCATGGGTGCGCAAGAGTGGGCTAGGGGGATGGATCAGCATGAGGGCATGGTAGCAGCAACACCCGTAGCAGCAACACCCGTAGCAGCGTTTGATGGGCGGGGTCTGGATTCGCGCATGGAGCTCAGCGCCGTTGCAGGTACACCGCGCTAGCCACCACCGTCCTACACTGTCCACGCGGGCCTTTTAGCTGCTTATTCTCATCCCATCTGTTGCGACCTTTTTCCACGCCTCTGCTGTGTTTCCGAGAAGCCTTTGCTTCTCCCTTATGCGCCTTGACAGTCGCTGATGGCTGTGCCTGTGTCTGCGCGCGCGTGCGTGCGTGTGTGTGTGTGCGCGCGCGCGCGCGTGCGCGTGCGAGAGGGTGAGGATGTGCGTGTGTGCGCGCGCGCGCGCGCGCGTGTATGTCTGCGCGTGTGTGTGTGTGTCGCCCTCTCCTCTGTTCTGTGTGTGGCAGACGTCACAAGGCATTTCAGTGTGGACGACCTGGACGGACACGGGGCTCGCATGACACACCACGCTGCTGCCAATTCTGCTGTGGCAGACGGTGCGTTTGGTGGTCCTGCTGCTGGGCCGCCAGGTGCGTTGTGTGTGGTAGGCCAAGAGGAGAGAAGGGTAAGGATACTGCCCGTACCGCATGATGTTGCGGTAGAGGCCGGTGCGGTAGAGGCCGGTGCGGTAGAGGCCGGTGCGGTAGAGGCCGGTGCGGTAGAGGCCGGTGCGGTAGAGGCTGGTGCGGTAGGGGCTGGTGCGGTAGAGGCTGGTGCGGTAGAGGCCGGTGCGGTAGAGGCCGGTGCGGTAGAGGCTGGTGCGGTAGAGGCCGGTGCGGTAGAGGCCGGTGCGGTAGAGACCGGTGCGGTAGAGGCCGGTGCGGTAGAGGCCGGTGCGGTAGAGGCTGGTGCGGTAGGGGCTGGTGCGGTAGAGGCTGGTGCGGTAGAGTGCGGTAGAGGCTGGTGCGGTAGAGGCTGGTGCGGTAGAGGCTGGTGCGGTAGAGGCTGGTGCGGTAGAGGCTGGTGCGGTAGAGGCTGGTGCGGTAGAGGCTGGTGCGGTAGAGGCCGGTGCGGTAGAGGCTGGTGCGGTAGAGGCCGGTGCGGTAGAGGCCGGTGCGGTAGAGGCCGGTGCGGTAGAGGCCGGTGCGGTAGAGGCTGGTGCGGTAGAGGCTGGTGCGGTAGAGGACGGTGCGGTAGAGGCCGGTGCGGTAGAGGCCGGTGCGGTAGAGGCTGGTGCGGTAGAGGCCGGTGCGGTAGAGGCCGGTGCGGTAGAGACCGGTGCGGTAGAGACCGGTGCGGTAGAGGCTGGTGCGGTAGAGGCTGGTGCGGTAGAGGCTGGTGCGGTAGAGGCTGGTGCGGTAGAGGCTGGTGTGGTAGAGGCTGGTGCTGTAGAGGCTGGTGCGGTAGAGGCTGGTGCGGTAGAGGCTGGTGCGGTAGAGGCTGGTGCGGTAGAGGCTGGTGCGGTAGAGGCTGGTGCGGTAGAGGCTGGTGCGGTAGAGGCTGGTGCGGTAGAGGCTGGTGCGGTAGAGGCTGGTGCGGTAGAGGCTGGTGCGGTAGAGGCTGGTGCGGAAGAGGGAGGTGCGGTGGTGGAAGAGGGAGGTGCGGTGGCGGAAGAAGGAGGTGCAGTGGTGGAAGAGGGAGGTGCAGTGGTGGAAGAGGGAGGTGCAGTGGTGGAAGAGGGAGGTGCAGTGGTGGAAGAGGGAGGTGCGGTGGTGGAAGAGGGAGGAGTGTGTGCTGGTGCTCGTCCCATGGCAGATCTCATCACACAGTCTGCTTGGAAAACACGCACGCAGCGCCACCTGTGGCAGCAGTACCTGCCCGTTTGGCTCTCAGTTAACCTAGGAGTTGCTTCCTCTGCTGCTGTTCTCACACCAGCAGCAGCAGCAGCAGCAGCATAACAGCAGCAGGGGCATGGGCAGGTGCAGAGGCAGCAGCTGCTCCAGCATAAGCTGGAGCAGATTCAGCAGGGTGGTGCGGCGGCACCTAGTGACGGTTGCCACAGGGTGGGTTGACTGGCTGCAGCAGCAGGATACTTGCAGCGTTGCTTGCTGAAATATAAAGCGTGCCCAGGGCCACAGGTTGTGGTGCAGTGACAGCAGAGGAGTTGGATGGATGCGTGGCAGCAAGGGGCGATTGAGAGAGCTGGATTAGCTGGAGCTGTCTTCCTGGAGTCTGCTTGCTCTGCTGCTGCGCCCGCTGGTGATGGCAGTGAGGCGATGGCCGCATGAGCAGAGGCTGTCGCTGTGGGTGGCCTTGGCGCAATGGTGTGTTGCGTTGCTGTGGGTGTGATCTTGGCACCTACGTAGCATGTTTTGCCTCGCTTTGTTGCCACTTTAGGTGAACATTAGACAGGCGGGTTGTTGATTTGAAAGCTGCAAAAATTGCAGCTCTGGTGGCAGATAAACGCCACCAATAGGAATGAGTTGTCCTTGTAAATAACAAGATCGTGCGTTGGCAGCTCCGATTAATGGAGATACAAAAAGGAAACCTCTTGAATACTGAAAATCCCCGGATATGAGAACATTTTTTTTGAAGTTTTACTTCAAAAAAATCGAGGATTGTGATTCGACTAGAGTTTGCTGTAAAAAAGACAAGCTCCTTCACATTCTCACAGGTCCAATTGACCTGCCACCTTCTCATCTTCAGATCTTGATTTGCCACCTAGTCGCCTTGATTCGCCCGTCGATTTGAAGAATCAGGACGACGATTCTCGTGTTGGGCTGAGAAAAGCCCTTAGGATCTTTGCAGGGCTAAACTCTGAGTAGGAATTTGTAATAGCAGAAGCGTTTAATGATAAGTCTTTGAACCACCTTGCGCTGGTATGTGAGGGCAAAGTAGATTGATTAAAACAAAGAGATACAATCTTTTTATAGGAGTACAAGGAATATGAAAAGGTACAACTGTTTTACTGTTGCTGTTGCGGTTCGATACAGTGACGACTCGGGCAACTGCTCAATAACGAGTCAGTTGTTTGTCCTTGCTGTCGCGCTGTACTTGTCAGGTCAAAGGTCGCTGACCTTTGACTTTCGCGTAACCTCCAGCAGCTGCTCAATCTCCGAGGGTTGACTCGTCGATGCTTCGTTGTGTTTCTCCTCGTTTACGACTTAGTGTTTCGACACAACAGAGGTGCTTAAATTTCTTGTTTCCAACATCTCGCGCGCAGGATCCCGCATCTGACGGTCACGATCGGCACGCGCTGGATCCTGGTCGCGATTTGCGCGTGCAGAATCTCGATCGTGATCTGCCCGAGCAGAATCGCGATGAGTGCGATCTGCTCGGGCAGATTCGCGATGATTGCAGCCTGCAAAAGCAAGACCGCGACTTCATTGCGGTCTGTAGGCGCAGGACCGCGATCATTACGGTCCTGCGCCTTTGGTGCTAAGACCGGCCGAGCTGGGGCGTTTTCGCCTGGTTGTGACGCGTCAGCAGCTACGCGTGGGGAACGACCCTCGCCTTGAAACCCGGGAGGACCTCACTGTCAAACATTTATCATATAGCCTATTTAGGCTGTAGTGGGGTAGACACTAAGGGGTACAGTTTCCTAGGGTTTCATACTTGTACCCAACTCATTTCCTAGTCAATCATTCCTCTTTCTTCACATGGTATAGAGCGGGTTCCCTAGTGGGACCGTTTCTTCCTAGGGCCCACCATCGAAAAGTTTTTTTTTCCTAACCTGCCCGAAGCGCGCTTCGCGCTCTGCCCTGCCCTAAACTTTCGCGGCCCCTTAGCGGCCTGCCCTGCTCCTGAGGCCCGTCGCGCCCCCCCCCTTTACGGCCCCTTCGCGGCCCCTTCGCGGCCCCTTAGCGGCCCCTTCGCGGCCCCTTATCGGCCCCTTCGCGGCCCCGCCCCGTTGCTCGTCGCGGCCCCGCCCCGTCGCCAGTCGCGGCCCCGTCGTAGTTGCGGCCCCGTCGCCCGTCGCGGCCCGTTGCTGCCCTGCTGCGACCCGCCCTGCCATCGTCGCGGCCCTGCGCGGCCAGCTCACCGGCAGGCGCGGGCCTCTGCGGCTCTGCCGCCCCTTCGTCGCGGCCCCGCCCTGCCCCGTCGCCCTTCGCGGCCCGCCCTGCCTTGGGCGTCGACCCGCCGCTACAGCCCCGCCCTACCCCTCTCACCGGTCGCGGCCTCCACCTGCAGCAGCCGCCGGGAGCCCTGCAGCAGCTGCTGTCCCTGCCGCCGCCGCCGAGCCTACCGCCACCGGTGTCGCGAGCCGCCGCCGCCGCTGCCGTCGCTGCTGCCCCGGCCCTGCCCTGCAGCCGAGCCGCGACCCCGACCCTGCCGGCGCACCACGCCCCTGCCCCTCCAGTGGCGGCCACCCTGCCCACCTGCCCCTGGTAAGCGCGTCGCCACCCTGTCGAACCGCCCTGCCGAGCCGCGCCGTTTAGCCGAGTCGCGCTGCCGCTGCTGCTGCCATCCTCCTGCTGCTGCTGTCATGGCCAGTCCCAATGTGCTTACCTTCGATGCTGAGGGTCGAGCGATCGATTTTGAGGTCTGGGTCGATGATCTGCACCATTTCTTGCAGTGCGATAGCAAGGACGGTCTCTCACTGTTCGATCTCCCGTCTGGCGCCTCTGCTGCCCCTGCTGCCGATGCTGACAGTACTGTTCGCTCACAGTGGACCACACGCGATGCTGCTGCCCACCTTGCTGTGCGTAGTCACCTGCCGTCCTCTGAGCGCACGCACTTTAGTCAGTACAAGAGTGCTAAGACCCTGTATGACGCTGTAGTTGCACGCTACTTCTCCCCTGCCACTGCTGCCCTTAGCCGCCTCATGCTGCCGTACCTGTTCCCTGACCTCGCCGCCTTTGCCACAGTCGCTGACCTCATTACGCACCTCTGCACTAGTGACACCCGCTACCGCGCTGCGCTTCCTGCTGAGTTCTGCGCCAAGAACCCCCCCCCATGTACATCACCCTCTACTACCTAGTCACCCGGCTCCCTGACTCCCTTCGCTCGGTCAGGGACCACTTCCTCTCTGTTTGCCCCACCACACTCACCGTTGACCTCCTCGAGGAGCGCCTCCTTGCAGTTGAGAAGAGTATAGTCGCTGTAGGAGCCTCTCGTGGTGACCCTCGTGCCCCTTTCTTTGAGGGGTGCTCCCCCGTCCCCCTTTTGCCCTCTGTTGCCTCTTCTGCTGCTGTCGACCTCGTTGGCACCGAGTCGGTCGGCGCTGCGTCTGCTCCTAGTGGGAGGCGCCGCAACGGAAAGGGCAAGGGGGGCGAGGCGCTGGAGGAGCTGGCGGGGGCGGCGGTGGTGGCGGTGGAGGCGGCGGAGGGGGTGGGGGTGGGAGTGGTGGCGGGGGCTTCGGTGGCGGCGGTGGAGGTGGAGGCGGCGGCGGCGGCGGCGGCAGCAGCGGTGGGGGTGGAGGCGGCGGCGGCGGCGGCGGCGGAGGTGGAGCTGGTCGGGGTGGAGCTGTGCAGCGGGGAGACTCTGGTGGTGGTCAGCGCCAGCAGCAGCAGCGCTCTCGTGAGACCCCGCCGCCCCAGCAGCTTCGTGAGTGGTACGCTGCGCGCCAGCGGTCTGGGGGTGCTGGTCCCTGTGCCTACGTCCTGCGTACAGGCGACCGCACTGGGGAGCCCTGCGGCGGGCCGCACGCCACCCATCGCTGCTTTGGCCGCCTGACAGACGCCTGGCGTATCCAGTTCCCGGACGCCACTGAGATCCCTCGCTGGGGTGATCTGCTCAAGTCGGGTGTAGCTATCTTTGATCTTGATTATGATGCTATTCTTGCTGCCATGTATGTCGTGTCTACTAGTGCTGAGGGTGACTGTTACCTGTGTGTTCCGCCTGACCCGGGCATTGAGGCTGCTGCTCTAGGTGCTAGTGAGTCTGTTGCTCCAGGTGCTGGTGAGTCTGCTCTCTCAGGTACCGCGTCGGCTCAGGTTTTGCACACCTTCACACTTGACTCGGGTGCTTCCCGCTCCTTCTTTCGAGACCGCACCACACTCGGGTCCCGTCCTTGCCCACTTCTCCACTGTCTTACCGTGTCCGGCGGCCCCTTCTGGCTCCCTGTCAGGTCTTTACCTCCCCTCGTTCTCTACGAACTTGGTGAGTGGTGCTGACCTACAGGATGGGGGGGTTGACCAGTTCACTCCTGCGAGTCAGCGAGTGACCCACTGCACGTGTGCTCGGACGGGCCGACACTTGGCCACGTTTACCCGTCAACCGGGGACGAGCCTGTACACACTGACTACCGAGTCTCCTCTGGTCACTGCGTCTGGTCAGGTAGCTGCGTCGGGTCAGGTGTTTGCTGCAGCGTCCAGGTCTGGTCCTGAGTCTGCCCCCTGCTCGTGTCGCCTCCTGTCTCACCAGACTCTCCTCTGGCACCACCGCCTTGGTCACCCCTCCCTGCCTCGTCTCCGAGGCATGGCCTCCCGTGTCCTTGTCTCTGGTCTCCCCCGGTCCCTCCCTCCCCTTCCCCCGGGGCCTGCCCCTACCTGCGTTCCCTGCGTCGAGGGGCGGCAGCGCGCCGCTCCTCACTCCTCCGAGTTTCCTCCGACAGAGGCTCCGCTGCAGACTCTCCACATGGACGTGTGGGGCCCAGCCCGCGTCCGTGGACAAGGTCACGAGCGTTACTTCCTGCTGGTGGTTGACGACTACTCGCGTTACACAACAGTCTTCCCCTTGCGCCGCAAGGGTGAGGTCACTGAGGTGTTGATCGACTGGATCCGCGCTGCCCGTCTCCAGCTCAGAGAGAGTTTCGGCTCAAACTTTCCTGTCCTGCGTCTGCACTCCGACAGAGGTGGAGAGTTTTCCTCCGACCTGCTGCGAGCCTTCTGTCGTGCGGAGGGCATCCGCCAGACGTTCACGCTTCCGGCCTCTTCACAGCAAAATGGGATTGCTGAGCACCGCATTGGCATGGTCATGGACGTCGCTCCTACGTCCATGATCCATGCGGCTGCTCCCCAGTTTCTGTGGCCGTTTGCGGTTCAGAACGCGGCGCATCAGATCAACCTTCAGCCCCGGGTCTCCATGCCGGAGACCTCCCCTACTCTGCGGTGGACGGGGAAGGTTGGCGATGCGTCTGCGTTCAGTGTCTGGGGATCTCGAGCTTTCGTCCGCGACTTGTCTGCGGACAAGCTGTCCTCTCGTGCTGTTCCCTGCGTCTTCCTTGGCTTCCCCCCTGACACGCCTGGTTGGCAATTTTACCACCCCACCTCGCGCCGTTTTCTGTCCTCCCAGGACGTCACGTTTGACGAGTCGGTTCCTTACTACCGTCTCTTCCCCTACCGCG